CTGACATAATCACCATGTTAGTTCAAGCTCTGGTCATCTCACTCAAATTATTGCACTAGCCTCATAATTTTAGTCACTGCCTCGTGTCTCTTTCTCTATCTCCCCCCACCCCCTCCATTCCAGTCCACCCTCCAGGATACTACCAAACAAATCTCCAATAAGGGGAGATTTACCCACATGACTTCTCAGACAAATCCAGTGGCTTCCTTTTGCCTCTAGGAGCAGATAAAAACTGCTTTATTTTTGCCCTGTACAACCAGGACACAACCCATCATTTGAGCTTCACTGGAAATCACTGCCCCTTATCACACTGCGTGATGCAGTTAAAATGTCCTTCTTTCTATTCTTCACACACAGGTCACTCCAACTATGTCATCTTTCTCTCTTGGGATACTCTCCCTCTTTAATTCTGCATCTTCTTTTGAGATGTAAAACAAGTTACATTTTCTGCATGAAACCTTTCCTGATCCTTCCAAATATGTCATACTTAACTACTTTGTCTATACTTGAATTTATTCCCTTTATATTTCTGCTACATATAAAACTATATATATGTATAGATAATACACAAACTTTTGTCCCCTTTAAAAATGACTGTTCTGAGTAAGGAATGTTTCTTTCTTTGTATTTGTATCTGTTGTGCCTTGATAATAAAAATATAATAAACATAATAAAATTTGATATGTTGACTGATTAAAGTAATGGTTTCAAGTTCACTCAACATCCTGGTTCACCTTAGTATTGAAAGGGAATTTTTTTTCTGTACTTCTTTTATAACAGATTTAAGCAAACAGAAGAGCTAGCAAAACATATAATACAAAGAAAAATAAATACAGTTCAGGTAAAATTATGGAAAAATATGAATTTATACAGAACTTTTTTAAGTTAAATTTTGCAGTTGAAATGGAATTTATCAACAGTTGTCTTAGGAGCTTTTGAAATGATGGATAATGTCTCACAAAATCATTAATCATCACAGACCCTATAGATTTTAAGATTGTGATTTTATCAACTTCATTTAGAGTACAAGTGAAACAAAGAATTGCAAAATTATGTTCTCCTAAATGTTTATTCACTGAAAATAATTTACATAGAAAACAATATTATACATAATAAAAGAAGCTGAACTAAAAATGTAATACCTCTTAAGTTGTCTTGATTTTTAATCATACTTAAAAAGCAAACAAGAACATTAATCTCCTTTTATATTTCCATTATTTACCATATGAAAATATGTTGAAGAAAATTACTTTTCAAATTCACCATGATTGTATAAATGCAGTTACTAACAAAATGAGTTACTAAATTGAACATTAAAAATTCTTTTTGTGTCAAACAGAGTCATTTTTGAAATAAATAAGTTACCAAAATTCTAGGGTCCTCTAACTTATTAGACCTTAGAGAATGTGTTAATTTGCATAAACTGCTCTAATCATCCCAAGCTTGATTTATGGTTCATGCAATTAATGCTCTTGTTGCTTATTAGTGCTTATGTACATCAAAAAATGAAAACTTCTTTTTTTCATTTTTTATTTTCAGACCAGCAACCCAGATTACATTTGTATCGATTTCAGAAGAGATCAACACTATGTTAGCTATGACGAACCTTAAGGGAGATGAATAGAGCTACTTATTTCTCCAACATTTAGGATATGATTGGAATGCTAATTATGACTTCCCTTGAGAAAACTTGTGGAAATATCCCTGGACTAAGAGGCCAAGATCCTGTGTTTGAATCCTGACTTTGCTATTTTTGCCCTGGTCAACCAGAGATAATGAGGTCAGTTAGCCTCTCTGGGCCTGAGCTTCCCCACACATAAAACAAAAGACTCATTAAATGACCTCTAAAGTCCATTCCAGCTCTAAATGCTATATAGACCTTTGGTTAGGATAATAAACAATAATTAAGAAAGCTACAGAAGAGGTTCTAAACATATGTATAAGTCATATGTAATCATAAAACAGGAAAAGATCATATAGGTCTTCTACTTTTCCATCCAGATATTTTTTGATGAAATTTACTAAACAACAAATGCAGCCTTGTCTTCCTAGGAAGCATTGGCATTGAGAAGGATTATTATTAACAAGTAAAATTTGCCTTGGGAATGAACAAATTTTATCTACATCTAAATTAGAAGTTACCTTGCTAAGTTAACAAGTCAGCTAATTCTTCTTGTTCTCAGCGATGAAATGAAGGTGCAGGGCTAAATAATCTCTAAGGTCATTTCCAGTTCTACGATTCTATATCGTGTTCTACGGGTCTTTCCCCAGCTGCATATTTGTACACGTATGCATTTGGAGAAACTGGTCGTCTGTTCTTGGAGGTAGGTTCTTCTTTTGATTGTGAAATTTTAGATTACTTTCAAATGACAGGCCATGGAAAGTGCTCAATGAGAAAAAAATTTCCCAATCTCTGTTGAATTGATGAAACTCTCAATAGGCAACTAGCATTTCAATGTAATGAAACTGAGATGTATGACCCCAGGAAAACAACACCACTGGACACCTCCAGGAGACTGTTCTACAAAGAGCAGGAGAGAACCATCATCCAAGTAAGATCTAGCTGTTGATTAATTTCCAAGAGTTCCATTCAATTGACAAGTATTTATTAAGTGCTTGGTATGGGTCAGGGACTGTGTTAGGTACTTGGGATATAGTGCAATGAATGAGGCAATCCCTAGTTGGAAGCAAAAAGCTTCACAGCAGCTTGGGGGAAATGTACATTTTAATTTTCTATTCAGACATTGGCTTTCTTTGCTTTAACAGCTTATACTGTTTGTACTCCTGTTTGGGCATTATACTAATACCCAAGCACTGAGTATTAAATTAATAACCATGATATTATTCTAAGGTAGTACGCCCATTGAATGGCAATGGTACCTGAAGGCATCTGATACTAGGATAGACATGGACTAAGGACTGAAAGAACTACAAGTTTACAGTGAAAAGGTAATAACAAAGAAGCAAATGAAATTTTTAAAGCAAAATATACTTGCTATCTCTAGTATTAAGTGTAATTCACTTCTAAAAACTGGCCTAAGAAAATATCAAAATTTCTTAATGCCAGTTTTATTTAACATGAAAACATGCACATTTCTTCAACCTAGGAGAAAAAAGCAAAAATTGTACTGTCAACAAATTTTAAAGAAATAAAGGGAAGCATATTATATTACACAGCCCATAGATAGTTGAGAAGACTTATTGCCATAGGAAATATCTGAATTTTTAGAAAAGTTCATTACAAACATAGGAACCAGGGGTAGGAACATGAAGTATAAGACAAAATAAAAAATGACTGATGAAGCCTTGACTAATGAAGCCTGGACAATGAGGAAAAGGAAGGAATCCTCAACCCCTATGCACAGCATTGCAAAATGCCACTAGATGAATAAATTGGGTTTTATTTTTCGCCTTCCTCTGAAGAATCAGGGATTGGAAGCAGGATGCAGGTTACCGGAACTGATGGACCAATGGCCTGATCCAGTATGGCAAATCCTATGTTCCTATAATAAAGGGGAAATTACAGTATATCACTTTGTATACACAGACACGCAGACATTCTCTCTCTCTCTCTCTCTCTCTTTCTCTCTCTCCCTCTCTCTCTCTCTCTCTCTCTCTCTCTCTCTCTCTCTCTCTCTCAGGGGCTGATCTTCCTTCAAAAGAAAATGGTTTTAACATGGATAATCTTCATTCACATCAATGTCAAGCCAATATATAAAATCCAATAATAATGAAAGGACAGAAAACTATTGTAATTTAAAAAACCTTATTGTATAGCACCATTTCAAAGGGGAAAAAAAAGAAGATATCTGTCAAGCAAGAACAGAGAAACAGAATGAAATTATATTTGCTACGAGATAAGAAAATGGGGATTTGGGAGCTTCTGATGCTAAAATGGTTCCCAAGAGAAATCCACACCAAATTGTAGTATAATTATTTGTTTCCATGTCTTATCTCCCATATAAGATTGTAAGCTCCTAGAGAGCAGGGACTAAAATGTATTCATTTCCATATGTCCCCAAGAGGGCCTTTGGACATGGTAGGCATTGAATAAAGGTCTGCAGAATAAATGAAATTCATTCTTGTTTTCACCAAATTCCATCAAGAATCCTTGAATTTTATAGGCATGAACTGAAACAGAGTTGATTTTAAAAGCTATTCTTTAGATGAGAGCTTGCAAAACATTTCAGCAATAAAAGTGGTTTATATCAGGTACTGTCCTAATCAAACAGCTTCTTGTGTTTTAAATCTGAAAACCCTCACAAGCTAATCCCACGAAGAACAACTCAGTAAATCCAACCACTCCAATGGCAAGGTAAGTCTTTATTAACTGGATCTGTTAGTGAGAAACTGAATTGCTGCCGAGCAAGTGCTAATAACCTCATTACCCACTGGGGGCCATGCAGACAATATGGTGCTGAATCCAAACAAAGGATGCAGAAAATTAGTTGTAAGATTTGAAAAATAGTGTCACGAAAGAAGAAAAATACAAATACAACTGAAATAGAGAAACATCCTGTTAAGCACAAACCCGATGATAGTTACTATTAAACTACGTTTCCCCCCACTTTGGGTAAAGCTTAAATATGCCCCAACACGACTTGTCAATCCTTGCTGGCATTGTCCACTAAGCTGACTTTTTATTTTTAACAATGCTTCTTTAGCCATTCCAAACAAACTGAGAACACTTCTGTTGCTGGAAAATATTTTTTAAATTATCCCAACATTTTCTCTCACCTGGTTGGGGATTTAAAACTCACTTAACAAAATCAATTTATTGATTTACTTTCTTCACATTAGCTTTTCTTAAATGCTTACAGGGAACCTCTTATCTTTCAATCACAATTAGAAAGGTGGGCATTACTTAAAAAAGTAGTCATTACTGCTTTCCTGTTACACATATCCCTTATGAGTTTCATGCTAATAAAGCTTTAGGGGACAAACACAAAGAGGAAGGGACAAAATTAAGTGGTGGTAAATAAGATTTTGAAATGACTCACCCATTATCCTACTGAGTGCAACATTTCTTGTAGGAGACTCATCAAGACTGTCAATCCCACTGTAGAGGGAGTGGGAAATTCTTCTTTCCCTGTCATCCAGCACAGTTTCAATAGGCAGTTCTGGCCCAGAGGGGCTCCCAGGTGACTTCACCTATATAGAAAGAGAATCAGATTTAAAGACCCATTTATCAGCGTTCGGCTCCTAGAGAACCAAAACAGCTTGTCCAAAGCATGTACATGGCTGGTTACCAAATGCACTAGAATTTGTCACTCTGGATCACCATAATTTGTGATGATAGCTCTGTTTAACAACAAGCTCTATGTCACCTAATATTGTCTCTGCTATGAAGTCCTGTCAGATTTCAGCCCCTGTAGATGAAGTATGTATGTATGTACATATATCTAAGTTTACATTTAAATATGTGTGTATTTATGTATGCATGTGTGTATATATGTATAAATATGTGTATATATTTGTTTATTTTCATCATGTGTTACAGCTTATTTCTTCAAACAGCTAGCTTATCTCATCTTAATTTAGTTTAGACTGCTTTAGGAGACTGTCTTGGGGCAAGATGTTTCATAATGAAGGCTAACATGGGTTAGATTTTTAAAAATATATAGTTTGGCTTATAAGCCAGTTTCCCCATGATCATCCCATAACAGTATGAATTTACTTACTTAAAATTATATAGACCAAAAACTAGACATCTCTATGCTCAACTGGGATCATTTAAAAAAAAATTTTCTGCAAGTTAGGATATTATAATAATAATATAAACATGCTTCTTTCTATGCGTTCATGTGATTAGTGGGTGACATTCAGATTAAATGCCGTTTGGTGAATATTTAAAGTGTTACTATGTATATGTTTTCACGGAAATCCAGTAGCTTATTACTAAGCAAAGGCAAATTGAGGCCATTCTTTGAGACATAATTCCTCTCTTAATGTAACCAAAAATCTGACTAGACTTTTTTTGTTTGGTTTGGTTTGATTTGGGTTTTTTGGCTGTTAAATGACCCTGAAAACACCTATTGAAGTGGTAGTATATGCGAGCCCTAAGATATTCTTTCCAGAAAACCACTGCCATACAGCCTGTCATCTTATATTTGAAAATATACTTCTTTTTTGGAACCCAAGTGAATATTTAGAAGAGAGGTAGCCTGGTGTAGTGGAAAGAACATCAGCTTTACTGTCCAAAGACCTGAATTAGCGTCCCAGTTCTACCAGTTTTTCCCCATGTGAGACACTGGGAAACTGAGGAAGCCACACAGCCTCAATTTTCTTTTTTGTAAAATGAGGATCATAACATCCATCTATCCACTTCACAGCATTGATGTGAAGAATCAAATGAGATATAGCATATGATAGCAAGCTGTAAACTTTACTGTACTATTGCAAGTAATATACAAGGAGAAAGGTTATTTAACATATCAATAGTTCTCAAATTTAGAGAATATCGTAAATTCAAGAAGGAAGAGTCAATTCACACTATGGTAAACTAAAATGGTATGCTACATGTTCTTTTAAACAGCTGCCTCTTATAATTCATGCTATTCGTAGATCTAGCATGACAACAGAATTCAGGCTATTAAAGCCTTTTAAAAATCCTCCAGGAGGTAACAAAGTACTCCTAAATGCAATACTCACAAGAGGAGCTTTGAAGTCACTCCAATGGACTAACATCTTATGACATTTTGATGCTGGCTTATTGCCAGGCTTTGGGGGGGGGCAAGGGAGGGGATTCACAGCATTCCAAGCAGATGAGGACACAATTGAGAGGGGTTACATAGTCAGTAAAAATGATTATTTCTGTTAGAACCTATCGTCTGTTTAATATAAATGAGATATTTAATGAAGTTCCGAATTGTAGACTTATCTCTCCCAGTTTGATAAGCACTGGAGAGATTTATTGCGCTGAAGGGTCAACACAATTACAATTGGAGGCACGTCAAGCTGCAGGAGAATAATAAACTTGCAGTGCAAGTGAATTAGACTCAATAAGGTTTAAATTGTAAAAAGAAGATTTGTTTTATTAGATTTTTTTAATTGCAGATTACAAGTGGAAGCTTTACTGAAAAGTAAATTACACAATATCCAAGTCCTCTGATGTAAAGAAATCAAAGAAAAATTTAGGGAGAATTTGACTGCTAAGTTCAAAGATTCTATGAAGAAATGAAAACAATTTATGAAACCAACATTCCCAGGACCCTCAAAGAACAACTCCTCCAAGGTATTGTAAATGGGTGCATACATTAAGGAGATTAGCAGCCCTGTGCAACACAAAAATTGATTTTCCCAGGAGACAGCAGCATAGACTCAAGTTTGTTAAACAAATGCATTACTCCAATGCATCTGGTAACTCAGCAATTTGACACTTTTTTGAGGCTGATAGCTAAGTTTCTTTATTTTAGAAAACCATACTGAAATAGACAATAAAATAGCAGAGAAAATAGCATCTACTGTCTCAATCTGAGAGAAACAACTATTGCCCTCTTCTAATAGATATGCTCTGAAAAGAAAGCTAAGTACTTTAACATTTTCACAGGAAAGATTCTTTTCCCCCATCATTTCTAATTAGCATCTCAAAAGGCAAATTTAAATGAAGACATCAATAGTCAACTGCATAAATATTTAACAAAAGATACAATTATCTTTTAATTTCTAAGAAAAATTGGTGGAGGGCCACACAGGTTTTGTTTTAAACCTTTTGATGAATTTTGTTTAAAGAAAATTTGAGTTAAAAAGAAGAGAGACACATCAAGTTGGAGCAAATGCCAAAGTAAAACAAAGTCAGGAAAAGTGAAAAAATGCTACAGAAGCAATTAAGCACTTTTCATTTTACCCTTGGTTATTATAGTCTCTTTACAGGTGGTTTCATTAAATTTATTATTAAACTTTATTAAGAGATAAAAGAGAACTACTGTAAACACCAGTCTCTGCTGAGAGATAAAGCCATGACACCATTTTCTCCAAATCATCTTATTTCAGTCATAGCCGTTCCCAGCAGTTCGGCTGGACACAGAAGATGCAGATCTTGGAAAGAATACTTTTTTTCCTCCTTGGAAAATTATAGAGCTAGAATGGGAAGGGACCTTGGAGGTCACCTAGTCCAACAACTTCAAGTTTCAGATGAGGAAACTAAGTGAACCATAAAAAAAAAAAAAAGAGGCAGAATGAAAATTCTCACAAAGAACTATTTCATGTAAATTCTGTTCTACAGGCATAGACTCTGTGCAAGAGTCTTCTCACTAGAGACTTGAATGAATTTTTTTTCCTCCATGAAAAAGTGATGCCTTTTGCTTTTTAATGGCAAATGACAATTCTATAAATGATTCTGTAAAATGCTTTATGCCATACGCTTTATTTTTTTTTACTCTGAGTCAAAAGAAATCCATTTCCCTCCATTGATATTGTAGTGTACTGTATGTACTTGTATGGTACTGATGCAGTCTAGGGGTGCTAAGAACCCCAAAATGCAAAGGTACAGGGCAAGAATTGCCTAGAAAGAATTCGACCACTCAAGCCTTCCTTCAGTCAGAGTAGGGAGTTTATTATGATACCGGCTGAGTGGGCGAGATTCCTAGTGTGTCTGGCTTATTTGTGATGCCAAAACAAGCGGGCCAGAGTCTAAAACTCTGTACAATTTAATGGGGGTAAGACTGATATTTTTATACAGAAAGTCTGTGGGAATATCTGGATGGGGTTAAGGAGTGGCAAGTAAGCTAATTAAGTAATCAAGGTGGACCCAAGTGGGCCAGATGCCTTGCGCTGAGGCATCTGGGCTACTGAAGTGTATGGGCTACTGAAATGTATGGGAAAATTCAGGGACTGGGTTGCTTTCAAAGTCATGGTCTTTTCCTTTTAGGGCTTCAGATCCCATCCCCATCAGTACCCCTCCCAATCTTACTGAAAGAGAGATATCCTCCAGTTTTGTCCATGAACCACAGATGTAAGGAAGTTCAGAAGTAAGGAGCATATGGAAGGAAAGATAAGGAGTTTTGTTTTAGATATGGTGAGTTGGAGATATCTATAGGATATCCAGTTGAAGGTGTCCAAAAGGTAGTTGGTGATATGAGAGTGAAGAGGGTGAGGTGAAAGAATAGAGATAATCCATTTGCACAATTAAGTTACATCAACACACATTTGTTCAGCTCCCACTAGGTGCAAGGCACTGCTGGAAAAGCAACTCAAAACATACATCCTTCAAACAGTGAGTCAAGAGAGTCAATTTTTTATGGATAACATTATCTACTATCCTTTCCTAAGTTTGTGAAATCAGGGTTGGTTTTTGTCACATAAAATTATTCTTTCTGCTTTAGACTCCATAGAAAAGTTCAGTGTTAAAAGTGTCTAAAATAATTCCTGCCACCTCTGGGGTTGCAGCTTTCCAAAACATATTGGCAAAAGTAAATTAATATTCACTGAAAAAGTCTAAATAAACATGACCCCCAAATAGCTACAGATTTTCTTTTTTTAACAGGCTTGGACAAGACAGAAAATAATTGACAAAAAAAAAAAGAGAAACCTATAAAAGGTAAACCCTAAAGGCACCTGGAGGTACCTTCTGTAGCCAATGTATGATGGTATTTCAATAAAATTCCAGAAAGGGAAAATATATAACAATCATTTAAGTGGACAATGATCAAAACATAGAAAAAGTGACTGGATAATCCGATGCAATATTAGATTGCATGGCACTGGAGAACACAATAGGTGAGCAGATGTCTCTCTGCTTAAAGTTTCGCTTGATGTCAGTCTTTCCCAGAACATCGAGCCAAGTTACCTCTGTGGATGCGTCAGTCATCAGTAGATCATTTCAACATATGGGTTGAACATCTTGTTTGAGGAGAGACTTCAGGGCTACATTTATATCATTATTGAAATCATTAAATTAAATGCTTTTTAAAAAATTAACAAAGGAGAAACAGAGTAAGATTATATTTTTCTATACCTGTGCACAAAATGGTTATTTTTAAAAGGCATCATACTATAGAAAATGACTTGGCTATGTCTGCATTTTCCCTTTACATATATTCATTAAGGATATCCATGATATGTACATAAAGCATTCTCATGAAGCATTGACAGATTATAAAAAAAAAGTAGGAATTTAGGTTGGGAGTCGCTGATTTTTCAATAAATTTCATAATAAAAGAATAAAAGTTCTCTCTGTGATATTTTCTTTGGAATCCTCTTTATATGGAAAATCAATTCCAGGGTGTCTTTAAATTCTCTCCCCTTTAGCACAAATCTTTTTTTTTTTAAATGCATTTAATCAATCTCAATTGTTCTTTCTGGGTCTTAAGGCTTCTGGAGAAGTTGTATGATACCCAGGGAGCAAAGGACTGAATTTTGAGCCAAAGGACCTAAGAACCAATCCCAGACATTCCATTTACTACTTTCTGTAATCAAGTCACTTAATCTCCTCAGGTCTCTCACTTTCCTTATCTAGAAAACCAGGACATTGGATTAGATAGATGACCTCTAAGGGGTTTTCCATTTCTAGATCAAGAATCCTGTGATCTTTATGCTATTGCTACTTCTCCACATAATGCATGAGGTTTAAAGTTGATGAAGCCCAAATGTGATGGTTCCACTGTAATCATTTATAAAAAGAAATCACAAAAATACCAGATTGCCTTCATTTTATGTTTGGTTTTAGGCTTTTGGTTTCTTCCATATATGGCTTTGCATTAGTTATTCTTCAAAATCTGGAGAAAATTCACATCAAATTCTCTGCAGGTTTGGCTTATCCTCAAATAGTGTTACTCTTTTGTGAGGTGATATTGCCAATGAAACAATAGTCTTTCATCACCTTTACTCTTAGTGGATCTTAAATGAGTTCACGTTCTCAATTAGTGTTACCCTTGGTTGCCATGTCTCACTCATTTAGTAAAAAGAATGTTTACTGGCTGAATGATTTCCTCAGTCTTTTCATTTTGGTAATGACTTGGCAAGCATACGATTAGTACCTATTCAAATAAATAATACTAACAGCTAGCATTTATATAAAACATTAGTGTTTGAAAAGATCTTTGCCAATATTATCTCATTTTATCCTCGCAAAAGACTTGAGAGGTAGGTACAATTATTATCCCCGTGTTACAGATAAGGAAACAAAGGCAGACAGTGGTTAAGTGACTTGCTCAGGCTATACAATTAGTAAGTTTCTGAGGCTGGATTTGAACTCAAATCTTCCTGACTCTAGGGCCAGAACTCTATCAATTCTGCTGTCCACCCAACTGATGATTCAATAGCCTTTGCATTCCCATTTTTCAAAGTGAACAACTTTTTAAAATAGTATGATTTTCAGCTCATGCAACTGTCTTCTCATATTGTATTTATTTTGAGTCTTGTTATTAATTAGTAGATGATCTAACTAAATATAATTTTGGAATTACTCTCTAAGGTGTAATGTCACTTCCAGGCTATAAAGACACTGAATTTGATATATTTATGAGACTATTAAGTGAATGCCATATGTAGCACCTTGTATCTCTTTTCTTAAAGGAAAAAACATGCAGAGACTAGGACTGGGATTTCCCTGGTATAGAGAACTTCCAGATCAAGTCCCTCTCCCAAAGCAGTTTAGCATTTTCTCTGCAATATAAAGTCCTAGAGAGTTGCCTAGAACACTGAGAGGTTACATGATTTGCCCAGGGCCACTAAGCCAGTATGGCAAGACATGAGCTCAGGTTTAGCCGGCTTCAACACCAGCTGTGTTCAATTTCCCCAGGCTACCTACCTAAAAAAGATGAATAATAAAGTCTATAAATACCTTAAAAGGCTTTGCCATCTTATTAATGTATTTTCAACAGCATTTTCCATAATTGGAAATCATGGTCCCCTTTAATCACTTCTATATTAAAGCCACTTATTATGACACCATCAATACTGAAGTTTTATCTAAATTTTTTAAAACGTATTAATTTTTTATTGGAGTTTTAACTAAATGTATAATTCATGTTACTCTTTACATCCTCAGTTTAAAAAAAAAAACACTTTCCACTTGTATGCAGGGGGCAGGGAAATAACACAAGGATACATGATGATGATCTGGGCCTCTTTATCCATCTTAATTCAGAAGAAGAATCACTGCTCCTAAACTTCTCCTACACATACATACACCCATATATTCAATTTCACTATGTGAAGCCTTAAAGAGGGACAAATCTGACAGCCATTGTGCAGACCCACAGCAGTGTCTTTCAAATGAAGCCAGTTCCAAGGAAGGGAAAATCCAATCCCTAGAAGTTGCCTCCTCTGAGTAGGTAAGGAAAAACTGCTTCTCTCCATCATTCTGCCTTCCATTAAGAGTGCACCCTACTAGAGGAGAGAATACTGAACAGGGCAAATGCCCAAGGAAGCTACTCTTTCCCCTATACTTAGGGCAGCAGTGTACCAAAAAGTAGAAGAGCTAAACATAAACAAGAATTCTACTCTTTCCTCATTAAAAATAATGAGATTAACTATTAGTGAATTTTTAGAAAAGGAGTGCACAGAATTATGCAAAATTCAAGAAAATAGAGATGAAATCCCTTCACAAATATACTTACTTCTAACTGGCATACTGTGGTAATTTTTTTTTAAATGACATCAACATTGTAATACAAATGATAAAAACGACATTCAAATGGATGTGGAATTGATTACTACAGATACCAGGTCTCAAAATACATTTTCTAAATTTAATTAAGTCCCCCACCTAAGAGTCATGATGAATGTTAGCCTAATTGAAATATTGGATATCAAATGGTTCAACGAAATGCTCCCTTTTTTTCTTTTTACCTCATTGCATTTGCTTATTCTCCTTGCTACAATAAGCTGAATCATTCCTCGCTTGTTTCCCTCTGTAGACATGGACCTTCTTAGTGTTTCCATGGCATCTTGATTTGTCTTGCCCAACAGGGATTCTCCATTTACTGCTATCAGTTGATCATTCACTCGAAGCCTTCCATCCTGGGAAGAAAAAGAGATAATAGTAAGGCCTGTAAATAAGGAAGTACTTGCTTTTGTAATAGTTAAATACTGTTACAAAATGAAGTTTGCCTTCAGTAAGGAAACAAAAACAAAAACTTTTTTTAATCCTAATAGATTATGCTCAATTGAACTCTCATATAATAGCATCTAAGCAGCCATTGAAGATTGTGTCTATTCCAACAATTTATACATTTGTAAATCAAGTCATTAGCATAATCTGTTTTCCCAAATAGCATACTAATTCAAACAACACAATATGATTATTTTCTTGCTTCCAGAGACTCTTATAGAGGGAAATATTTGAGTCTGACTAATATTTTAATCTGGAACAGCACAATCTTTTCAAACGGAGCCATGAAATTTTCCTATGGAGAAATGGCATGTGTTACTGAAGCTCTATTTGCCAGACAACAACATTGTCACTCAGGGAGTCTATCACCAAGCTATATGACATCATATAGCCGTATATTTTTCACATTTACAATTTCAAGAAAAATGCAATTTTAAGCCGATTTTCCATGCAAAAGGAATATCATCATCAGAATGTGCTATGGTTTGTTGGTTCAGAAAACAGAGTCAACATAGATATTAAAGGAAGAGACAGCATGATGTTGTGCTAGGTTTGGAGTCAGTGAGACCTGGTTTTAAGTCTAACCTAAATTTGATCCTGGACAAGTCACTTAACCTTTTAATGACTCAGGCAAATCCCTAGGATAGATCTAATTGGCCCTCTTTCCCTTCTCCCAATATGTATTTTTCATTCTTTATTGTGTGTGTGTGTGTGTATGCATATATATTTTTGTATACACTATGAGCTAGTTATCTTCCTTGATAGCATCAATAAATAATCAATAAATCAACAAGCCTCTATTAAATTTTTACTAAACATTGGGCAAAAGACATAAAAGCATTCCTTGCCTTTAGGGGAACTAATATTCTAATAATAAAAAAAAAAAAAACCCAGCATAAAAATAATCCGGTGCAGATTGGATATATAGAGAACAAACAGATGACAACCTCAAAAGAGAAGGCAGAAACAGTCAAGGGGACCAGGAAAAGACTCCTTAAGGAAATGGGATTTGAGCAAGGTGTTGAATTAAGTCCAGGAAATTTAGAAGTGAAGGTGAAGGAGAACAGCACACGAAGATGGAAAATGTAGTGTTCTCCAGGAGGAGCAGCAAAAATCACCTCTTTGAGACAAGAACTTCATTTTTTTTTTTGCCTTTGCATCCCTAGATGCTTAACAAATACTTGTTAAGTTAATCTCATAGCTAAAGCTTCTTGTGCTTACTGGGGTACAAAACGAGAAAATGTCAGTGGAATTAGCCAACTTCAATAAACTTTTGGTTCCTGGGCATGAAACTCCATACAGTAGTAGTAACATTTTGCTGATGAAATGACTATCTTTGTGCCCCTCTCCATTAGAGATCTACAGCATGGCCCCTTGCATTATCTTTCCAGATGACCTGATTTTGTCTGTCACACACACACACACACACACACACACACACACACACACACACACAC